CATCTGTAAGAAAAGATGCTGGTGTCTGATGAGTCCCAAGATAATATGCTATGAGCTAAAATTGCAAAATCTATTTCAAACCAACCAGGGTACTTTCTTTCATTGATGTAGCTTCTATAGGAAATGTTAATTAACAGATTTTCTTCCCCATAGCATGTTTACAACAATAATTTATGCCTGTGTCCTTATTTATAATTTTGGAAAGAAGTAAAGTGATTTTTCTTCTCTAAAAAATAAAACATGAAAGTAGCAAAAATATAACTTAACATTTACATGGTGCTTAACATTAAGAAAAGCACCATGATCTTTCACATGTTAGTTGAACTTGAATGCTCTGTGGCATGAATTTCGATACCATTTCATGTCTCTAATAGCATTCCTTGAGCACTTAGGTCTGAGTGCCATTACTGCAGCTGGAGAGAGCAGGAGACGCACAGAGCTGAGCCAAACTCGTTTTTTGTTTTTGAAAAAGAACATGTCTGGGACTCTGAAAAATAGTTCAGATCAGAATCTATGAAATAAGCCTAGAATAGATGTGAGTGGGCAGATGAACAGAGCAGAGGCCACAAAGCTCTCCCCACAGGCCAAATGCTGAGTGAAGTAACAGCAGCACTTGGGCAGAATTCTCGTCAAAAGAGACACTAAAATTCCACGCTTGAGTTACTTAACAAAACCCTCCTTGGATTATATGTAGCAAGTCTTCTTAAAGCAAAACTAAGTGGTGAGAATAATTTAGATATACTTATCAGCAGTGGTCCAAAGAGACTCTTTCTAAGTGGAATTTTAAAAATTATCACCTACTAATTTGGTAGGTGTGAGCACTCAGTTCGGGGACTGTATATAGTTGGCCTCCACCAGCCAAGATACAATGTTTTCCAAAACTGTCAGCAGGGAAGTAAAAAGGTGATGGAAAGAAGCTGTGAAAACATCTGAATTGGTGTCTAGGAGCTTCCAGAATATCCCAGAAGTTTGGCAGGACCAATTAGGAAAGTAGCAGTTACTGCAATTCACATGGATAGCAAGTGATATCTTCTTCAATGACTACATGCAGTCAGATACTAGAGGGGGAAAATATCAAGGTTGGATAAATGATGTTGTCCATGATGGAGAGGAGTAAGCAGATAGAATGCATCTACACAGGTATAAATCAGAAACCACAGGATCAGGAAGTAGAAATGAGGAAGCCAGGCCTGAAGATTGGGCCCCAAAGTTTAAATGACTGAGAATCTAAAGTGAGACAGAAATGTACTCAGGCTTTCATCAACTAAAACAGTGTGATGGAAGGAGACTTGATTTGGGGTAGTGAACACACAATACAATGTATACATGATTTATAGAATTGTACACCTGAAACCCATATAATTTCATTAACCAATACATTGAATAAAAAGAAACAACAAAATGATCTTGGAATTAGGGACTTCTTGATAGGGTGAGCAACCATCCTGGTTTGTCTGGGACTTTCTCGGTCTTTGCACTCAAAACCCTGCATCCAGGGCAACCTTGCAGACCTGGGAAAGCAGGGGCAGTAGGTTATCCTGTTGCTGTGGAATCCTAAGCCAACACCAGACATTTTCTGAGTAAGAGGAGGCCAACTGAAAAGACTACAAAAGAATGCAGCTGATTTGAAGGGATATGTCAGAGAAAGAATAGGGAATCAAGAATACTCCTTATAATAGTATTCTAATTGGTTAAGTAGCTTAATGATTAGACAAAATAGTTGGAAGAATTTGGGGCTACTATACTACATGGATTATACACATATGACCACAGATGCATGCACACAGATGTGGGGTACACTGAACTTCAAAGTCCAAATGAATAGAAGCATATATTCTGGCTAGCAGAAAAGAAACTGTTGTTTATATTCTTGCTTTATTTGACAGTGTACAGTAAAAGGGATTTTTTCAAATTATTTTAGCTTTAAGTTTGCTGCCATTCATGAAACAGCTGCTCTGCTTCTCTGTCAGAGATGACAAGGGCTTTCTCAGCATCTCATTTATGTGTGGAATTTAAAAGAGTAAAGTTTTACTTTATTCTGTGTTAAGAAGGACAAGAATGTTCCTTATAGCACCATATATGGCCATGGGATCTTCTAAATGTCCTTTCATTTCTTGGGACTTCAATTTCCTTAATTGGTATTAGAACAATGACTTTTCATAATTTTTATTTTTGTCTTTTAAAAGCAGCAGAACCGCCCTGGCCAGTTTGGCTCAGCGGTTAGAGCGTCGGCCTGCGGTCCGGAGAGACCTGGGTTCGGTTCCCGCTAAGGGCACGTACTTCGGTTGCAGTTTGTCCCCGGGCCTGGTTGGTCGTGCGGGTGGCAGCCACTCGATGTGTCCCTTTCACATCGATGTTTCTCTCTCTCTCTCTTCCTCTCTCTCCCTCCCGCTCTATCTGTACAAAAAATGGAAAAATATCCTCGGGTGAGGATAAAAAAAATAAAAAATAAAAAAATGAGAGCAGCAGAACCCTTTCTTCAAATGAAATCTTAGAAACACACACACACACACACACACACACACACACACACACACACACACAAAAGGTAAAGCAGAGCTGCTGTGTTGAAGCCAGATTGGGGGACCTACAGCCTTGACCGCTTTTCTATACTTTCAACCAATCCTCATCCTGCCCCCAAGACAGCCCCTGAGGTATCTGTGCCAAACCTACACAGCCCTGAAAAACAGATTTTTAAAATTACCAATTGGATGATCTTCAAGTTGTCTCTGGGTCAGAAATCCTACAATGCTTTGGCCATCTGCAACATTATCACTATTTTTCAGAAATGGATTAGCTGTTCCTATTTTCAGAGTCCTGGCCTCAATACCTCTCCTTCTCTCTAATACACACACACTACTCAGAATACAGCCAGGGAATCAGTTTGGCTGGGCTTTGCTTACTCTCAAAGTCAAATAATGTAAAGAAAACACACTGAAATCATTTCTGCATCAGGGAAATATAGGTGACAGTTCGTGTGTGTGTGTGTGTGTGTGTGTGTGTGTGTGTGTGTGTCTGTTAGCACTTTTCTGTATTTTCTATAATTTGGATGAAATACTTGATCTTGTGCCAAACCCTTGGGCTTAAACATGACCTCGTCTGCTACATTTGGCCTACTACCTACGCTGCTCTGACTCTTTTTTCTTAGTTCTTCCCTTTTGCCTTGCATTCCTGCTTTGACAATGCACTTTTTTTTTCATTTTCCCCTATATATTTTACACCTTTTATTTCTTCCTCCTACTTTAGCTTCCCATGTGACTTTCTAATATTAGCTTTAATGTCTCCTGCTCCCAAGAGAATGATCCAGCCCTCAGACTCCACACTTTGTTTCCAGTGGGTCTGTCTAGGAGATAATTCTATGGTGAAGTCCTCTCCTATCCCTGTAAATAGCTCTAGTCACTCTATGCCCACCTCCCAGCCTTAGGGGGTGATCTCCCAGTTCTATTGGGCTCACGAGTTGTGCTTACCTTTGAATAGGATGTTCTAATAAAGAGGAGACAAGTCCTTGAATTTGATAACCCTAGATGGTATACCATTTGGTCTCTGAGAATAAAGACCCTCCAACTGAGCCTCAAACATGGACAAAGGATATGTCTCTCTCTTTGCAATATACAGTAAAGCTTTATGGATAGATATTGATGATCTCATCACCTTAAAAGGATCAGGACAACTGAGTTATAGTGAGACCCAGACAGTACATTGGAAAGTAATGGAAGAATCAGGTCTTTGGTGGCTTTAGGAAATATGATGATTAAGAAAAGCAAAATCCTTTATTCCATTTTTTCCCCATTGGAGTAGTTGCTTACCAGGAACACTCCATAGTCCAGCAGCTAACTCAATTTCAACCATTCTTATCTTCAGTTTCCTAGTATCTGACTCATGTCTGATCTGATTCTTCTGGTCTTTTGCTTCCAGCATTAATTTATGACCTTGGACTACCACATCTGATTCTTCCTGATGTCATTCTTTTGTCAATAACCCTGTGAATTACAAACTATACAATCCTGCTACTTGCTGAGCCCTAAGAAAAGATGGTAGTGGATAGATATGAGTCAAGAAGAAAAACATTTTCCACCACTGATTGATTTTGTGACTTTAGGCATATTATCTAAACTCTCTCTCTCTCTCTCTCTCTCTCTCTCTCTCTCTCTCTCTCTCTCTCATCTGTAAAAAAGAAAAGAAGAGTTGCCTCGCAGGATTGTTGTAAAGACTAAAGTATAAAATTTATAAAATATCTGGCATAATATCTGTCTCTGAAAAGGTGATATAAACCAGGGCTACTTAAAGTGCAGTTCATGGACTAATGTTAGTTGTTCATTACTAGTCTATGATGAAAAAAAATAATACAGAAATTGAGAGTTCACACTTAGAAACTTTTTGTTGTTGTTGTTCAGATAGAGCAGGAGGAAGAGAGAGAGAGAGAGAAACATCGATGTGAAAGGGACACATCGAGTGGCTGCCACCCGCACGACCAACCAGGGCCGGGGACAAACTGCAACTGAAGTACGTGCCCTTAGCGGGAACCGAACCCGGGTCTCTCTGGACCGCAGGCGGGCGCTCTAACCGCTGAGCCAAACTGGCCAGGGCCACACTTAGAAACTTTTAGACTGGAAATTTTCTAAAAAACAAAAACAAAAAACTGGTTATTTCCCAAGCATATTTAGACAAACACTGATATAAATGGGACCTCAGCTGAGGAAACCTCTGGGGTATAGATCAGCATATATTACCTGTAAAGACATTCTTAAGAAATTTTCCAAGTGATTACCATAGGGGAAGAGGGTGGGGGGAGAACAAAGAGATAAAAGGGATCAAATACATGGTGACAGAAGAGAATAGAATTTGTGTGGTGAGCACAAAAGAGAGTATACAGATGTTGTATTATAAACTTGTACACCTGAAATTTATATAATGTATTAACCAATGTTACCCCAATACATTCAACTAAAAAAAGAAAAACAAATATTCCATGACCCCTTCCTTTTCTGCTGGCCAATTACCTTCATGGTATTGTTAATCTTTGAAAGTTCTTCCATCACACGATCACATTCGTGAAGGGCCTCTTTCCCTGTTCTGCTCATCTGTTGGTATCAGTTAAGGAAACACAAACTAATGTTAACATTTGTTCAAAAGATAACTCAGAAAATCTGTTTCAAAAGCATGCAGGATGCATTCCAAAGCCAACTGGCATTTCTGATTTGTGTTGCCCAGGCCATTTCCCAAAGCAGTCAGGGGATAATTAGAAGTCAGGGGGGAAATTTTAATTTTTCACGTTAAGGTATAGTGGCTCTAGTAGAATGAAAGAAAGCATTAACAATTTCAGGGGAGGAGTGCTTGATTATATCTAAAGAAAACAGTCAATTATAGGCATAAGCTGTGGTCACTTTATCCATTAGTTTCAGGATGGGAGCGACATGTGGAGCACAGTATTCTCACGGCATTGGCACCAGGCCATTCCTGAAGCACACAGTCATTATGGAGACATTTAATTAGTGTATTTTGCTTGATTGCCTATGGACATAGTAGGGGCAATGTGCCATCTAGCCCTTTAAGGGTCAAGTGATGATTGGAGAAAAGGCTAGCCTGACAAGTCATGCTAAATTCTATGAGATTATGGACTTCATATGACTTCCATTTTTAATATCCCTCATGCACAGAATAGGGCCTGGAACATAGTAGGCACTCAATAAAATATCTGTTGTATGAATAAACAATTCAAGGTCACCAAAGCTACAATCCCTCTATAAACCTGGTTCCATGACTGTTTCAGTCCAGTATGCTCTGGTTCTAATAAACGACAGGACCAGGATTCAAACATGAACCTGTACAACTTCAGAGTTTAATGCTCATTCTACAACAGCATGCTTCAGAGATGACATCAGAAACAAATACCATGCCCACAACAATTGGGGAGGCCACAGAATGCTTGATCTGGGCCAATCCTCCCAAGATTCCATGGGACTGAAATACCCCTTACTTGTCTCTCTCCTCTCTAAAGAGGGATAGGGATATATAGTGGTACTTTAAGTTTATTACCAGGAAAATAAAATTGGACTATTCTGTGGGCAAAGAAGTCCTCCCTCTCTCTAGCATCATCTATGGAATGTGCTCTGGCTATGTCTTGAGGAACCCAAACTGGCCCTTGAGAGTGCAAAAGGAGACTGTAATAAATTGAAGTATAAAGCCCAAATGGCATCTGGTTCTAAAAATCTATTTCAGTCCCATCTTTATTTATCCTCCCTGGTCCAATAGCCTCATGACAGCAGAATACATGACCCTTGAGCTTCCTTCACTTAAATTTTTTTAATCACTAAAAGAACTAACAATAGTGTTTAGTTTAAGTAAACAAAATTGCACTTTCCAAGTAAATTGACCTCCTTTCTTTGATCAGATAAAAGAAAAAAAATTGGATGAGCTCTGTATTTTGCCCTGAAGGGTGAAAAATTCATACTTTGTTATATTGAGAGACCGAAGGACTTTCAGATGCACAAACTCAAAATCCTTTGATTTGTAATCAATAATCTAATTTAGTGGCTTTATAAGGGGGGCTTGGGAATGATAGGGTTATATGAATTGGGTCCAGGAAAAGATAGGGATGAAGGCATGGGTTAAGATTAAAAGAAAATAGGAAAGATTATAAAGGAGGAGAAACAAAGCAAGCAGTAATGAATTAAAATGTCAAACTCAGCTCCTAACTAGTGCTTCTTCCTGGACTAAAAGCTATGAGAAGTATGAAGAATGGAGTTCTGTGCCATATTTAGGTAAAATATGTCTTACATTTAATTAAATAATCAAATGTAAAATTAAAACAAAGTGTAAAGTCAAAATATTTAGAATATTAAAATGATATGGGAGAAAGTATACTGAATCACAGCTTGCAAAACAGGGAGGTGAGGAAGAATAAAAAATGGGTTATGTATTTATGTTCTTTGGCCAATCCCTTCATCTTCTTTATTTAATATGTTTTTATTGATATTTTAGAGAGAGAGGAAGGGAGAGAAAGAGATAGAAACATCAATGTAAGAAAGAAACATAGATCAGCTGCCTCCTGCACACCCCTTACTGGTGGTTGAGCCGAAAACCCGAAAAGTTCCCTCACCAGGAATTGGACCAGGACCTTTCGGTCCATGGGATGATGCTCAATCCACTGAGTCACACCGGCCGGGCATCCCTTCACCTTTTTTCAACCAGTCCCCCTCTTCTCTCTCCCCTCTGACAGCTGTCAGTTTGTTCCATGTATCCATGTCTCTGTTTCTATTTTGTTTATCAGTTTATTTTGTTCATTAGAACAAAATATACATGACACATAGACACATACAACAGTGCAGTGATGGCCAGAAGGAAGGGGGCTGGGGGCTGGGTGGAGGTGGGCAAAATGAGTGATGGGGACATCTCTAATAGTGTTAACAATAAAAATAAAGACTAGAAAAGGGAATTAAAGGTTAGAGAGAAGAGTTTAGACATGACCTCATGGGCAGTGGTGGCACATATGGAAAAAGGTCCCAGCTGGGAACAGAGGATGTACTCAAATGAGTTAATTGAAGAGGGTTTACTGAAAGGATTCTTCACAAAGGTCTGTGGTCAGGATTAAAGGAAGCCAACTAGGGATGATGAAACACCCAGGAGCCAAAAACAGCAGGAAGCTGTTATCTTCGTAGGCTTGAAGGAATAGGAGTGGAGCTATTACTGAAAACTGGAAAAATCTGGTAGCTGTAAGGGAGAGCCACATCCTCAGACTTTGGCCCTCCCTTTCTTTTCCTTTCCCTTTTCTATTTCCTTTCCCTTTCCCTTTTCTCTCCTTCCTCCCTCCCTCCCTCCCTCCCTCCCTTCCTTCCTTCCTTCCTTTCTTCCTTCTATTCCTTCTTTTCTTTCTTCTCTCCCTTCCTCTCTCCTTCCTTTTTCCCTCTCTCCTTTCTTCCTTCCTCACTCCCCCCTTCCTTCCTTCCTCATCTATTTACTTTAATTGATATAAATGACACATTTTTCTTGGCTTGTAGCTTTGTTATGAGTTCACTTTTTAGTGTTTCTCTTATTTATCTTATTTATTTGGTTTGTGCTACAAAAGTTGGGTTTGAGACTTTTTACCCATTTTTTTTTAATTGAGGTATAACTGACATATTGGTTTCAGGTGTACAACATAATGATTTCATACTTTATATATTGCAAAATGATCACCACAACAAATCTAGTTAACATTTATCACTACACATAGTTACAATTTTTTCCTTGTGATGAGAACATTTAAGATTTACTTTCTTAGCAACTTTCAAATATATAACTATATTATTATTGACTATAGTTGCCATGCTATCCATTATATCCCCAGGATTTATTTTATATCTGGAAGTTGGTACATTTTTACTCCCTTTACCCATTTTACTCACACCCTACCCCTTCCTTCTGGCAACCACCAATCTGTTCTCTGTATCTACAAGCTTGTTTTTTTTTTTTTCTGTAATTCCACATATAAGTGAAATATAATAGTATTTGTCCTCTGTCTGATTTATTTAACTTAGCATAATGCCCTTAAAATCCATCTATGTTGTTGCAAATGGTAAGATTTCATTCCTTTAATGGTTGAATAATATTTTATTATATATTTTCTATCTATTTTTAAATGAAATATTATTCACATATCATAAAATTCACCCATTTAATATGCACAAATAAACAGTCTTAGTGTATTTGCAAAGTTTGGCAACCATCACACTAATTCAAGAACATTTTTATCACCCACCAAAACCCCATATCCATTAACACTCACTCCCCATTTCCCTCTCCCCCAGGTCACTGGAAACCACCAATCTATTTTCAAGCTCTTTGAATTTGGCTTTCAGCAGAACAACAAAGCCTCCACCAAATTTCCACTTTGCTGGGAGGGAGCTGATGGAATAAATACTCCAACTCCTCTTTCCTTCCCAGCTCTGATCTCCTGCTGGTGCCTCCTATTGGCTGAAGTCATCTTGATGCCAGATGTCAATAAAGCCTGATTTGCACAGTGCATTGATGTTAGCCTCCAGAACCACAGAGCAGGATGAAGGATGGAGCGGGAATCTGGAGAGACAGGAAAAATCAAGTGCCAAAGGACCCTACAAACTCTTGATGAGAAGATGTTAGGAAGAGAATGCCAAAAACTGGAAATTAGAAAGGGTGTGCAATCCTGGTGCAAGGAGTTGAAACTCCATGGTGAAAGGATATACCCCTGAGGATAATTAGTCTATTCAACATAACAGAATCAAGGGGTCTAGTGGCCACAGTAAGATTGTTTTCAATGTCCTTATGTAACAAAAGATTAATTATGGCATTCTTTCATTTTAATTTTTAAGTGGATTCTGGAGACCAAAGAAAATGATTCATCATCCATTATTCATATTTCATTTTTATTCTTATCTGTATCAATGTGACTTTGTATACATGACATTGAGAATTGTATTTATTCTATCTTTATGATACCCTATCAATAAATAAAAGAGCTTATTTTCTAATTATGTGATGGGAACCTGTACAACTTGATTTTTCTAGTTTATTTACTTAAAAACTGATTTCTTTTTGCAATATAATTTGTCCCTATCTTCAAGGAATTGCAAGCCATAATAAAAATAGTTGTCCTTGAAAAGAGAAGAATGAATGATTACTCAATTGTTTCATTATCTTTAGCTGATTATATTTCTTGATGTCCTGGTCAAAAAGCAAACACAACTCAGTATTTTCCAGGGAATTGGTCTTATGGTTACATTAAATTATCTCCGGCTCCCTTAATTTTTTTTTTCTCTGACAAGAAGACCTTTCCTCTGTGTCAATTGAATTATCCCCCTATTCATTTTTAGCAATCTGCCCAAGTCATTTGGCATGACAATTATACATCCTTTTTTTATTATTAATATTAGTAACTTAAAAGTTGAATTAGGTTTTCCTTCCAGAAGCTCATATAATAATTTCCTATCTGAAAAATAATATGATCTTGGTTTTTTATCCACATATATTTTGCATATACAATTCATCATCATCAAAAAATGCATCTCTTTTTTCTATTTTCCTAAATTAATGTGAAATGTTGAATATAAATTATAACCCTCTCCTT